TTATAACTACCCTAACAAAGTTTTTTTAATTTTCTTATAAAATATATGAAAATAAAAATGAAAAATTTTTTTATTAGCATGTATGTGGTTATTTACAATTTAAATCTACCCTTGGATTTTTTTTTTGTAAAAAACTAATAAGTTTTCCAAAAAATGTTAATAGTCTTCGTTTTACTTTGTTGAGCAATAGTGTTTTTAACTGCGTATATTTTTTGTTTTAAGTTTTAAAAAGTTTAATTTTTGAAAAATAATCTATCTTTTTTAGTTGTTGCTATTTTTTTGTATTGTTTTTATCGAAATATGAAATCGAAAATTCGATAAAAATATTGTTTGGTTTTAAAACATTTTTTTGTTCTGTAAACGAATTTAGGTTTGCTACCTACATATCTACATACATACACATATTTTCATATATTTTCATTTAAAAAATGTGAAGTCAAAATTTTCAATCTAAAATTTTATAAATTTCATAAATACATAATCTTAAAAATATTAGTCTTAAGAAATTTAAGTTTATTCACCGTAGTTTGGTCTTCAAAGAGCAAAATATCTGCTTTTGCTTAAATTTCTAAAAAAATTGTATAAGTCTAAATTTATTTTATTAACAAAATATTTTTAATCAAAACGAAATTTTTTTTTTTTGTTTTGGACTTAAAAAGCTTTGTCGTTGTGTTAAATTCTTATTAATTTAATTCTTATTTTTTTTAAGAACTATGTTTGTTTTCGGCTTATTTGGTGTTGATGGAAGAGTTGCCATCTTTTAAATTGAAAAAAAATAAATTTTAAATATTTTTTTTTTGTAAAGAAGCAAAATCTGTTTTCTGCATTAATTATGGCCTTTATCTCAAAAAAAAAATCTTAACTTTAGTTATTTTAGCACAATTTTCTATGTCAAAATATAACTGTCATTTAAACTCGCATTTACCATGTAAAATATCTACTAATTTGAATGAACACAACTTGCAATGATCAATCATTTTGAGCGCTCGATGTTTAGTTTTCCGCTAATGGCAGCACTGCAGATATTCGATTTCAAAATATTTTTTCTTCTTTTTTCAAACGTACAATCGATTTTTTACCTTATTTGTATGTGCAATCGTATGCATTTACATACATACCCACTTTGTAGATACATATGTATGTATGTGTGTAGAGCCAAAACATTTCCACAACCATCAGCAATCTACACTCCGGCGAAGTAACTAGAAATAAATCTATAAAGAAGTATTAAATCAAAAGGAAAAATTACCCAAGTAAAATCATGTAATACAACATAAGAATGTTGCATAGCAACGTGTAAAAGAATAAATTAGAGACCATAACAAAAACCATGACAACTCGAAGTAGTAAATACTCAATAATTTGAAATACTCACCAGCAAATATTTGCTCAGAAATGTTGGGAAACAACTCAAAATTTACAACATTGAAACGGGGTGTTTGGGATCAGTTGAGCGCCAAATTGAGAACCAACTACTACTCGAGAAGCAATAACAAAGTCATTGGAAGGCTGTGGTGGCTCCTACTACTTACGATTATTTATGTACGTGTTTTTGTTTTTTTTTTTGGCTGCCCAGCAAAACCGGATTTTGAACTGCTCACCGAGCACAATTTGTTTCTTTTGTGTATGTACATACATATGTATGGTATGTGAGTTTACCCATGGGCTCAAGTTATTGTTGTTATGTAGACAGAAAAAATTGTTTTCAAAGTTGATGAAGTAGAGTCCAGCGGTAGAATGAAGAATTTCCAGCTATTGTTTGAATTTTAAAAATAGCAAATGAGGTTGCCAGATGTATTGAAATATTGTATTTTTATTGGGGTCTGGCTGCCGAGCTGCCTAGAAATGCCATCCTGGGAATTGTCTCGACGGTTAAGGAAAGGACTAAATCATCTTCGAATATATGTGGAATTCTCTTGGATATGCCAGCTTAGAAAATCAAGAACAAAAAGGTCTCTCTTAACCAAACTGAATCAGAGAGATATTCAACCCACGGCATTCCCTTAAGATGTCCAGCTTTCGCATGGTTACGGTTCACAGATCTCGGCTCGCTCTTTCGAAATAATATTGAAGAGCTCGCTAAGCCAGCTTTACAAATTTTTTGACAGCCTAGAGTGCCTAGTTAGCGGGGTAATTAACTCAACCTATCCTACATCATAGTCTGTAGTTTATCAGATATCAACTAGCTTTTAGTAGTATTCGTTGCAAATCTTTCTTCTGGATTTTTCAGAGACCAACCAAGAATGTTACATATCGAACCTCTTGGCCGTCGAGTCCATTAGAAGTAAATCCAAATCTATTCGAGAGCACGAATTTGCACAGAAGTACGTCAACGTTTGAAAATGTTATCTATAATATGAGGCAGGTTAGTCCGTTTATCGGATAAGGTTTTCATGTAGCTTATTTAAGGTCTATAGATGAAAGACGATTACCCTTAAACAAGCCAAATTTTCCATTCTCCCAAATCAATTAGCACTGTCTTGCTGTGAGAAGAGCTGACCATTAGAATAATAATTCGCTCGGTACCCCACTGAGTTTGGAAAGACACTGCTGCGGCAAGCTTTCATTCTCTTCATACGGAGTTCACTAAAAGGCTATTTTTCCGTAATACCATATGGTTTGCGTGAATGACGAAATTTCTTTGTCACTGCTCTGATAAGCTTGAAACAGAAATAACGAGAGAGCTAAATAGTTTTTAGCCATCCACCAATGTTTATAAGTTTGTAGATTGAAACTGAGAGAAAACGATGGAATTTTCCTTACGGGGGAGGAGGGTTTTTTTTTGTTCCCCATCATTACTTCCTAGTAAGCCCAGGAAGCGTTCTGTTACGATGACGTCGTACCATAGGGAAATTAGTACTAGTTGTGTTGCTCTATAAGACATGTAAAGAAATTATTTAGGTTATGGTGTATCGGGTTCTATTCCTTACAGGTAGGAAACAACACCGTGCTGGAGCCTAATGTTGTTACCTCAACGTGAATTCCGAAAGCTAAGCTCGAGTTCTTGGTCACCAATGGAAGATCAGAACTTATGACACTATTATATAGTTTATGCCTTTTGCGAAAGGATTAAGGACAAAAACTTGTCTCTGACATTCCTCAGATCTATTTAATTGTTTAGTGGAATGGTTCTTAAGTAATTCTCTATGCATGACTTATGTATTTTACCATGTTTTGAGAAAGAGAATAAGTTGTTTGAGGTAGTCCTTTAAAAATTTCGACTTATACCTGAATTCAGTTTGAACTGATTTACCAAGGCTCCAGAAAGCCTACGATGGACTAAGAAGGGTAACGCGCTAGGTTCCTTGGTTAAACGGAAACGAACTTAGAGATGGCACTGTATACAACGCATTTCTTGTCTATTTTATTTAGGCTTCGGAGTCTTAAATATATGGTCTATGTGGATACGCATTGTACCATGTTAGATATGTTATCGATTTAAATTGGCTTCGAACTTTCATTGCGAGTATTTTCAAGGTAAATTAAGTGTAGTCATGAAGAATACAAAAAATTGACTTACTAGTCAAAATTAAAAGTATCGCAATTCTTCCAATCGATTGGGCAACCCCCATTGGAATCAACGACTATTGGAATCAACGCCAATTGGAAGCAACCAGACTCAATCGCTAGTGATCTAGCTGTTGGTGAGCGGATATGAAATAACAGCTCTCCCTCCCGAGTGCATTAATGGCGCAAACAACTCAAAAGTGCACAATTTCCGATGGCTGCGCACGAGCGCTGCTTATTTGTTTGGCCATTTGCGTTACTCGTACACTCACTGCATGGAATGCTGGATATCCAACTGGCAGTTGAGTTCGAGACCGTGTTGTGATCGTATGTGCGTGAAACGAGAAGCGGTTCGGTATTGCAAATTATACTCAAATTTGAAAATGGTGTAGTGAAAAATTACAAATTGGCAGAAAGAGATGTTGTGTGAAAGAAGGAAAATATTTGAAAATTACAATTTATAAGAAACCTTGCGTTTAATGCCGCATTTTGGAAAATGCATTCAAAATAGCAGAAAAGGCATACAAAAGTAAAGAACACTAACCGAGTGCTTACGCTATTTTGTACGCCGTTGCCTTCCCAGCATTTTCGTCTGCTGTTGAAAGAGGCAAATAAGCAAAATACTTGAAAAATAAATACATAAATACATACAAACAAATGTGAAGTTAACTTAAAACGTGTTTGGAATTCCACGCTTACAACAACAGGGAACACGAAGTGTATTGTAACTGCTTTTAAAAGAAACAAAAAAGAAACCAAAGATAAAGCAATAAGAATTGCACAGAATTGACGGCGAGTTGATAAATAAAAAAAAAATTAAGCAAGTCTTATGAAATGCACTCGAGTAGAGAAAATGCGCATAAGAAATGCAAGGAAATGAAGGAGGAATATTAAAAACTGAAATAAAAAGGCAAAAAGGCGCTCGGACGCCAATTTCGACTTCTGTGGAAGATTTTTCGGCATGAAAAAAGGAATTGTAGAAGTTTCAGAATAAAAAAAAAATATAAGAAAATTTCAACGATTTAAAAGTTATTTAAACCTGAAGAACATAGAAATAATGTCGACTAAACATTTTTTCTAAACAAATTATTAATCATTCAATAATTAATTCAATTCAGTAAAAAGGTTATAATAGAAAAGGTTTGTCTGATCTCGATTTTAATGAATAAAAACACTATCATTACGAATAAGTTAGTGAGCGCGAAAACATGAACATTTTCTCTTCAAAAAATTTCATTTTAATTTAGTGAATTAAAAAAAATTATACAAATATTTGCAAAAATAAATTTAGGACAATTTTGTGAGGAAAACTTTTTATGAAAATACTTGTATAAGAAAAATATTAAAAAAAAAATAAAATTTAACAAAAATTTTTTTCATACAAAAAATTTTACAAAAGTATTGGTACTAAAGAATTCAATGAAAAAGTAATACTAAAATTATTTCATGATAAAATTGTAATAACAAATGATCTAAGATTCAAAAACATGGAAATTGTGACAAAAATATATGTACCCAGTGGCTTCAACTAAACTTCCAAAAAGTGATGCTTTCGCGGAAAACACTTTCATATTTTGTGTACAAAAGTTAATAACAAACAAGATAACAAACGATTTTTTCCATAAGCGGTGAACATTATTGTAAAAATTTCAAATTGGCCAAAAATTCAAAAAAGTAGAAAAATTTAAAATTTAAATAATTAAACAAACAAAAAATTTTATTTATAAATATTTTTAAATTAATTATCTGCTATAAATTACAAACAAGTTAACATTTTATGCTCGCACAATTTTTTGCCGTGTTAAAGAACCCATGCAAAGTTTGTTTGCGCTGAAAATGGTTAATTTTTTGTACATAAAAAAATTTTGTGATATTGTGATTGCCATTGAATAGTTAAATATCTAAGAAAATTAGCAGAAACATACATCGACAATTTCAACAAAAAAAAACGGCCATCCTACAACTTTTTGTACCTTAAATCCGAAAAAAATATTCCTTCAGTATCGCCAAAGCACCAATTCAAATAGTTTTTAATCACATCTAAACGCGCCAAACATTGAAGCATGACTACGCTTTGCCATAGCCATAAACGCACTTAATCCTTACGCACACCCGCAGAAAAAGCAACAAAAAAAGTTCCACAAAAATGTTGCAAGCCATTGAAACAACGCCACAAAAATACAACTCAAATACGCTAGCCAACACGCCATCCAGCGCCAACGCCAGCAAGGTGTACGCCACCCCCACCACAACCCCTACACATACAGCAAGCAACCAAAGTCAAAGCGCCAGCGCTGAGGAGAAGCAGCAGCGCCGTCGTTCAACATTCTACGTGCCGCTTGTAATCGAAGACGACGAGGATCACCGCGAACAGCCAAACGACTCTTCGTGTAGCAGCAGTCCCGCACAGGCAGGCGGCAGCGCGGAAACCAGCAGTCTCGGCGGACAGTCGAGCGCTTCGAATACAAGCTCGAGTACAGCGCAGGATCTAAAAAGCGCTTCCAGCAGCAGCAGCAGCAGCAACGCTAGCGGCGGCAAGAGTAAAGCCGAGAAGAATAGCAATAACAACAATTTGAAGAAGTCGATTTCGTTGAAGAACGCAAGCGCCACTTCGAAGGTGGCAGCTTTGCTCTTTGAACGCACCAATAGTACCTTGGGCTTAGGTGGCGGCACCAGTAGCAGTAATTCAACCAACCCAAACTCGACTGCTAGTGGCGTAGTGAAGCGTAGCAGTGCGAAGAAGATGTCACCACCTTGCGGCTTCAGCTGGACAATTAGCGGCAATGCCGCTGACACAGATGTGGATGATGAGAGTGATGCGGCTGAGATGGCTACTGCTACTACAGTGGCGTCCAAGAAGGCCGAGAAGGAGAAGACAAAGCTGAGCAGGCTATCGCAGAAGCCTGAGAAGCGGCACAGCACGAGCAGCAAGAGTTCGGTGGCCAGCAGCAGCGCGACAACGGCGTCCATGCAAGCAGTCAAGCAGTCGCCGCAAAAAGCAAATACTAATGCCAAGACAAAGCGCTATGGCATTGTGCTGAACGGCATTAGCTTGGATGAGGAAAATTTGCATATCGCACCAGCCACGCCAATAACCAAGTCTACGCCGTTGAAAACGCGCAGCAATTTGGTAGAGTTCAATGAAGATGACATCGTGCTGGCGACCCCTACCAAACAGGCGCGCAACTCTAGAACGGCAACGAGTACAAGTAAACAAACAGCGAACCAACCAAAACATGGAAAACGTGTCGGTGCTTGGGGTCGCAACGATATGCACGATTGCACAGATATTGATGTTGGTGTCGACGAATCGTCGCCACATTCAGATATAGACTCCGATGTTAACCTCAACGGCGGCGGCGGCGGCGACGACGACGAGGACGATGACTCAGAGATTAGTCGCATACAAACAAATACTTCGACACCTATTAAAATGATGAAATCACGTTCGCGCACGAATATCTTATCGGTACCTAGTGTGGAACAACACAATCTATTGAGCGTAGCAGCTGCCGCTGCCAAACCTAATGCGAGCGCGACGCCGCTGCTATTGCGCGCCAAGTCCAAAACGCTCCCACAAAATTTATCACCTTCAGTTGTGCTACAACAGCCGGAGGCATTGTATGCTGATTGCGAAACAGCACAGACGAAAACGAAAGCGTCGGCGGGTGGTACAGAAAACACACATACGTCGCGCACCTCGCGTCTAATTGGGCCACTGAGTAAAGTTCATCATAATCTATTTGGTGGTAGTGTCGCTAGTCATATTGGCGCTACCGGTACAACTACCACCACCAACACTGGTTCTGCAAACAAAAACCTCTCCGCCGCGCAACATAACAAACTCGCGCACAGCTCGTCTACTTCGCTGATTACGCATACATTTCCACCTAAACACCTTTTCCTCTTGAAATCCACCTCAAAGCTGCCCATCAGCAATTCCTCAAGCCTGGAGCACAGCAAGTCCAAGGCTACAAAGAGTTTCAGTTCGGATTCGTCTATTACCTCACCGCCTACAACGTTGGCTAACGCGAGCTCCGCGCAACCGCCGCAAACGGTGACGTCACCACCAAAGAAATCGTTAAGCTTCATACGTCGCGCACACTCAACGAAATTGTCGCGTAATAATTCGCTACTCAAGTCGATAGCCAGCCAACATCAGCAAAATATACAGCAGTCAGCTGGAAATATGGCCGCCGGTAATGGGATAGTCGACTGCTCGGGCAGTTGGGGTAAGGATTTCTATTTAAATTACGATGTCTGCCCGCTGGCGTTGGATGAGCTGGAGTCGTATTTTCGTTCGGAACGTTGTACCACTTTGATACGCGAGCGCTTCAAGATACTGGATATACCATTGAATTGCTCGGCGGCCGATGAGTTGCATAATCAGCAGGATAGCTCGTTGCGTGAGCTCGACACGAGTTGTAGCAGCCAACAGCATTTAAGGATGCCCGGCACGTCGGAGGCGAGTGGAGGGACAGCAGAGGAAGACGATGCAGGACATCATTCAGGTGAGTTTGGGTGAAGGAAAGGCAGGAGAGGGAGAAGTAAAATACTACTGCTTTCGAAAGCTGTTAATTGAAGGCAGTTAGCGAATCGGGGAGACGCTTGGGGTCACGAACTTGTAGTGGCAGTCAAAAGTTGTGAACAATTAATCCAAGTCTGGAAGTTTGTTCAAGTTTGTTTACCATTTTACCTGGAGAAGTGTTAGTGGGAATGCCTAAATTGTGTTATGCGTACCGCCCTAACAATTTCCGCATGCTTCAGATAAGAGTTGATGATTTAGTATTTTATGAGTTGTCTTCCATACCTCGAAGATCTTTGAATTGGCTTATGAGGCCAGTTAAGACGCCACTGAAAGGTGACACTTCCAATAAAATTAAAGTCTCCTTTTGAATGTAGAATAGAAAGAAGCCAATCACCTTCGCATTTGCTCCAAATAGACTTGTCGGTATCGCTATCTTCTACCCCACCAACTACATTACCTATTATCGCTTATCAGTCGACGCCATAAATAGAATACAGACATGACAAACACACCCAAAAATTACGCGTAAACATACCAAACAACGCCGAACAGCTGCAGAAAGACAAATACGAGTGATAAAGATAAAAAATAAGCAAACAAAAAAACAGCTCAAAAGCAAATAGACAAACCAAAGGGGAGTAAAAAGTCAATCGACAATTATACTGCGCTCCGGTGAATCGTTAAGAGCAATCGCACATGTTGCCGTGAAGACAGTGTGTTCTTATCTCTGATACGGATGGACTGACAGTGACAGACAAAAACAATCAAATGATTGATTAGCCAAAACATTATTAGAGCAATTGCGAGGGGTGCAGTATGTGTTCGAGTAGAATTACTTGTACTTAGTGACATAAGAAGACAAAGCGAGGCACTGTTTCACAAATGCAGTTGATGGGTTGGGCATTACAGTTTATGTAACTGTTAGGCTACATAATTTGAATTAGGCTGGTAGCGAGTGAGCAGTGATCTTTGATCTTTAGCTGATCGGATGTTAAGGGGGTATATGTATGTGTTTCGAAACTTTTAGCTACTAAAACAAAAACATGCATAACTTTTCGTAACTCTCTTATCAGTATGCACGACTTGGAAAGTACGTAATTTGTAAGGCCATTTTTTGCATTTGCCTTCTTACTCGTTTTTGCTTTATCGTTGGGATCGATTTCTTAATGCGTGTTTACTTTTTGTGCAAGTGATAAGATAAACACTATCTTTTGCGTTGTTTATTAATAATAACTAATAAATTCTTTCAAGGGCCCGCAGTTAAATTTAAACCCTTTACGCTTTAGGCTATCATGGCTGAAGAAATTTAAAAAAATTGTAAAGATTAGGGACCGAAAAAACGAAGTTATAATGTACTTGTATGACTAAACTCAAACAAAAAACTGACATGCTTTCGCGCACCTAGTTTTTCAGGGTTAGCATATTGTTTTGCCCTTGTACTTTTCAGGATTTTCTACATTGAAATGTTCACTAACATACACTTGGCCATAAGAGATCATTTCGGAGAAAATGTTACTTGGGAGAACAATCACTAACCATAATCGGCATACCTTGCCATAAGAAGTAGACTGTATACGTCTAGCACATATTTTAAATTTCTCCACTTCTGAACAGTGATTATTATTCATACCATCGTTTTCGTATGGTTACAAGATATCTCTGCTAATTCTTACATAACGAATGAAGATCACATCGGCTGCAGCACAGGGATCCATACTAGGACCGGATCTCTGGAATATAAATTACATCCAGTTCCTAGAGATAGAAATACAAGACGGTACCCACGTCTCCTTTCAACAAGAAGACATAAGTATTCCACTGGAAGTCGAAATGACTACGGTTGGCCCAGAAACTAACGTTCTGGACACAAATACAATATGCAGCAGAAAGGGCATCAAAGGTCGCAGGCTACCTTAGCAAACAAATGGCAAATATAGGCGGACCAAAGCAAAGCAAAAGAAAGCTTTTGATGGACATAACGACGTCCATCCTCCTTTATGGTAGCGAAATATGGGCAAACGCGTTAAGAGCTGAAAAGGGCAGGAAAGTACTAACTGCCGTAGAAAGAACAGAGGCTTTAAGCCGCATACCGGACAGTCTCAGAGGCTGCAATCCTAGTGATAAGGGGTATATTGCCTATAGATTTCGCAACAAAGAAATGGAAATCGAAGTTGAACCACAAGCACTGCGGAAACATCACAATAAATGGAAACAAAAATTCAATCGCTATGGCAGACGTGATGGAGCGTAGAGAAGCGAGTCAGATGGACGGCAAAGCTCATTCCAGAAATAAATAAATGGGTGTCAAGAGGCCACGGAGACGTAAACTATTACATCACCCAAATAAATATCTGCATATAATGTGGAAAGTGGAGACACCAACTTGCGCATACTACACCGAGCTACATGATGCTGAACACATGTTCTTCAAATGTCAAAGATAAAGGTCAGAACGGAATGCAGTAGAACGAAGGATGGGGAAAGTCTCCGCCGACAACATCTTCGTAAATATGATAGGTAGCGAAGAAAATTGGAACGATATCGTAAAATACGTCGAAAGTATTCTTAGATCGAAAAAGCGGGACATGTAAACGTATAAATAAGCGACAAACTGGCAAACGGTAGCAACGGGCTGAACCCCTTAAGAAGAAAATACGAGTCAATAGCTAGATGCTGGCTTCAAACATGGCGGCCCTGGACGCACTAACCAATAAGGGTCATCTCCTGGATTCTCTACCTTGAAGTAATGCAAAAGTGGTCCCAGGGTAGAGAAGTTTCCAGAGCAGGAGGGGAGATTATTTAGTGGCTACACCACTCACGTAGGAGCGACGGTTTCTATATGGTGCGAAGGAAAATAAAGAACTGAGAACAAACACAGGTCACGACAGGCCAAGGAGCTTATAGGAATTTACACCTCAAAGATATAGGAAGCTAACTACTCTCCTAGCGGTAAGCTTAAGTTTTGAAAGAGATATACTAGTCGCTCACTGCAAACTTCGAGTCCACACGAAAAGCCTAGGGATCAACTTAGACGACTCCTCTTAATATTTCGATACGAAGAAGACAAAAACATTTCGGGAAGCTGTGACGACACTTAGGCACCGCACTATATTTAAGTTAGGAAATTAACACTTCGAACCGTAGGCTACCATGTTCTACAGAGGTCGTCGGAGAAGCTATGTCCCATAAATCAAGTTTTCATTCATCTCTACAATATATCTACATGAATTAGCTGTTAAGCCTTTTGTTTAGACCTCTATAAATCTTCTGTTCTTCATTGTTGGTCTTAATTTCGGCTGAATTTCAGTTCTCCACTGATAGAGTGGGTGGCTTTTCTGGAATTGAGGGTTCTAGCCGATTTTCATACAGCATCTATGCACAGAAATGCATATTCTTAAATCTCTGTTAAGTTTTTTGGTCTTCATTTGCAAAGACGAAGAAGATCTTAGACTTTTTTTGTTTAGTTATGAAAACAAGAAATCCGAATTGTCTGAAATATCATATTCAGCTGGCTTTGATGTCATTGCAGCCCATTACTTTCCTGTAAAAATATATGGACTAGTATCAAACTCGAGCAATAAAAGATAAGTGACTTGTTCATCAATTTGGACCAGTTAGCGAGCAGTCGCCCTTGTTTTTTAACTCTTCCAAAAATGATTTCTTCGCTTATTGATACGTTTTGTAGTAATAAACGAAATAAGAAAAAACGACGGTTACTTCCTTTGCCGCCTCTCAGAGTCAAAGGAAGCTCAAAAGAATACTTCCTTTTTCATCCGTAAGGAGCTCAAAAGGAGTATTCCGCTCGGAGATTTGCAGAGTAATCCATAACTTGGGACGGAGCGTTCTAAGGTTAATCTTTGGATGATATTTTGTAATGGGATAGTGGATTTCAAGTATTGACGTATTATCTGTTAAGGGTGGTACCAGGCACGTCCGATTTCCTTTTAGGCGTAAAGTTTTGATTTTATTCAGAATTAAGTGTTCTGCAGCCGCTTAGCAAACCCTAAGGAGATGGAATCTTGTGGCAGAATTGTCGACTGTGTTATTGCCTTAGCTAAAAAGCGAATCAAGGTTTATTTAGCGCAAACTATCCGGTGGATATTGGTTTGAAACACACCGCAGAAGCTTTGAAAATCCTAAATTGAACCTGAATCGTCGACTGTGTTTTACGTTAGCTAAAAACGAGTAATGGTTTCTTTGGCGCGAAGTGTCAGGTGCAGCCATAGCCATCAGCTCTTGTTCTAAAATATTCCTTTTTTCCTTTATTCCTTCTTCTATCTTTGCTGATTATTTTTTTTCTTTTTATTTCATTTATTTTTCTGCTGGTTTCTATTCTTCAATACCATTTCCACTCGTATAAGTCGAAGATGCCAAATTATAGGTTCAAGCAAATTATTTCCCATTCATCTGCCTAACTTATCATTTGAGTTAGCTACTGCGGTTTGCTGCTTGATCTGGTCGCTGAAAAGAGTAAATACAGGTGAAAGAAAATAAATTTTTCAATTACTCAGTTGCTTAACAGTATTTCTACCTAAAGGAATTAAATTGACCTACCTGTTTCTCGTTCGTCGGCTGAGGCCATCACCTCTACTCCCTTTGTCCATGAGTACTTGCAGTCCAACGGATCATTGACAGCTGATTTATGATCACTTATCCTTCTGCTGTGAGATTTGCATTTTCGTGAATGATTCATACCAAGGAATTTCGGTTGCACATATCGATGAGACGTAACTGAAATCGAAAAAAAGAAGAAAAAAATTAATTAAAATAATGATGAAAGATTTTACTGAAATTCCGCTCGAGAAGATTGAATGATTATTGGCAATCAAATAAACTGTTTATCGGTAGCTATTTCCATTCACAGATAGACCTTTGTAGCTAGGAAGTTCGGTTGCTAGAATCGATGAGACCGATAGCGGTTTCGTTAAAGCACTACTGAGAGAGACAGCCGCCAGCTTTGTTTCCAAAAAAGGTTTTGCAATC